ATGATGTGAATTGGAGCTATAGAAATAAAATGAATAGAATTGAATTGAGGACGTGCAGAGGAAGAGTATTTATAGGAGACAGAATAAAGACTGGGCTAATGAGCTGACAAGGATCAGCTGTGGATGGAAGCATCTAGAAGGAAGCCAAGGGGAAAGGAGGGAAATGGAGGGTGAACAACAAATACATAAGAACTCAAAAAAATATAACCAAGAACAACTAGAATAACACAAAAAGTCAAAAAGAAAACTTAAACAGATCCAGTTTCTCTGTCACATCAGCTTTTAATGGGAAAAACTGTCCCAGAACTCATCTTTGTTATTGTTTCATTGCGAGTAGCGCCACCTGTGGAGCAGGTTTGCCATTCACTTTCCAAACTTTGAAAATATTTATGAATCAGTGCTTCTATGTTCCTATTCTATGTCTGCTTTAGATAGAAAGCCGCTCAAACGTAGCCTGTTTCTGCTGCAGGTTTCTTTCTGTCAGAAAGGAAATTTTCCACTGAACTGAAGGGATTGCTGCAGAGTTAATCATCGTGTTTTCTTTGGAAAGAAAACTGGCATCAATCTGACTGAATGACCTGGTTGAATAACCTCTCTAAAGAGCAATGGCGATATATAAATAAACTAAAAATGTAATCAGAATTGCATACTAAAATAATACATATCAGGGGCCAAATAAATGGTCTTTATTGAGCGTTTTAACCAAAGAGTTAAAGAGCAAACATAAAAAAGACGCATAAAACGTGACTTTGTCTTTGCAGCCGGCTACACGCCCCCCCCTCCTTCACTTGGTTCATCAGCTCCAGCCTCCAGCAAGCCCCCCCGCTGAGCAGGCAGTGAAATGATCATCCTCATCATCAAATACAGCAAGGTCTCCCTTTAAGGATCCGCTTGGAAAACATCTCAGGCCAGGAGGGGGGGCGCAGAAAGCAGGCATCACTTAAAGATCTCAATCCAGCACCGCGCCCTCCCCTCATCCCTCCCTTTAATTCCCCCATAAAAAGGGAAGGGAGGGGTTGCTAAGAGAGCAACTCCCAGCGACCCCCCCCCTCCCCGTATCTGCCTGCCTTTTGTCCCCCTCTCCCAAATAGCAGTTTCTGCTCCAGGAGCCTTAGACAAGGCTTCTATTAATTGCAGGCCTGTGAGGAATACATGTGGGACAATGGGTCCAACAGAGTGTCCAGCCCCCAGACAAGGCTGGAAACAAGTGGAACAGGAATCCGGCAGAATAGACTCGTCCTGGCTGATGTCACTGAATACATTTACCTACCTCAGTGCACATTCACTCCCTGCTTTGTTTTATTTTCACAAAAAAAAAAACCTCAGGGGCAGGGAGGAGGGTGGGAGCTTGAGGATGGGAAATAACTGGTTCCCATGGTGACGTGCAGAATCAAAAATATGGCCGAGTTTAGCCCAAGCAGAGACGTATNATAAGACAATATAATTGCGCTTTCTTATTTTAAATGTAAATTGTCTTGTTCCATTGGCAAAATGTCTCTTTAACCTTCTCAATTCAAAAACAAATGCACTTATTTTAAGAAGAAATAACTTATATAGATTTTGATTTTTTTCCAGTGTAGAAAGAAGCAGACAGAAGAAAAGTGGTCCCTGTGTCCTCCAGCAGTCTAAGCCTATAGCAGCATAACTCCTTACGTCTTTCCTGAGGGCCTCCAGGATGAGGGTCTTCAGCTGACCCAGGCTCTCATTGATCCGGGCGCGTCGCCGCTTCTCCATAATTGGTTTAGAGGACTTGCAGAGGAAATAAACCGCAGTTAGTTTTTGCTCTCAGACTTCCTGTTAAGCCGCAGGCGCTCAGGCATCCTACCTTTCTGCTCTCTGACGGGATGCGGGGTTTCCCCGGTGTGGCGTCGCCTCTGGCCGGGATCGCAGCCACGGCAGCTGGGGAGGATCTTTCTAAAGTTCCTGCTGGCATGGTCAGGTCAGCAGAACAACCGAAACCAAACAGTGAAAGATAAAGAATGAAAAGAGTCCTTCCGCCTCCTGCAGCCCTCAGTCCGCTCTGCCTCAGACTCCCGGCCTCCGCCTTTATAGCGCAGCATGATGCGCACGCGAGCGGCTCGTGTGACATCTCGGGGTTCCCTCTTCCTGTCCAATAAGCGCGCGGGATGCGGCGCCTGGGAGCGCGCGGGCTCGTGCTCAGACAGATTTACATCAAACTGGTTCATCTGCGAGGATCCCGATTAAAACGAAGTTCACTAAATATTTATTTTCGATGTTTTATTCTGATGCTGGTTGTACACTGTAAAAACAATCTAGAAATAAGTTAAAATGTCTTAATTTAAGTGTGTTTACACTTAAATTGAGCAGGTAAATTAGATGATTTACCAATGGAATGAGTATTTTTACTCTTAACATAAGATAATTAGATCAAATGCACTTGAAATAAGACAATACAATTGCGTTACATTATTTTAAATTTAAATCGTCTTGTTCCAATGGAAAAATGTCTCTTTTACCTCCTTAATCCAAGAAAAAATGCACTTATTTTAAGAAAAAATGACTTTTTCCAGTGTTCCATAAAAATAAGACATTTTCTCAACATTATCTGATTATTTCAAATATTATTAAGCAATTAAAGCAAACAAACCAGAAAATATTGTCCCAAAAAATTCTTAAGATTTCAAAATTTTCCTTTGATATTTGCTTGTGGAACAAATTTCTGTTTATGAAATTACACTGCAAAAAATCTAAGTAGGTCATTTTTTCTTCAATTAAGGAGGTAATTGAGACACTTTGCCAATGCAATAAGACAATTTACATTTAAAATAAGAAAAAAAATAATTGCATGGTTTAATTGTCTTATATTTCAAGGGCAAATTATCTAATTATCTTATTTAAGAGTAAAAAAAAACTTATTTCATTGGCTAACTACCTTATTTACTCACTCAAATTAAGGGTAAATACCCTTAATTTCTAAATTTTGTTCTTATTTGTAGATCGTTTTTGCAGTGTACATTTAAATTATACTGCAAATAAACTTCTCTTAATCCCTATTCCCTCAGCATATTTAAAGTATCAGTGTGATAATAAGTAAAATATTAAAAGTACAAGTAAGCCTCAGTATATAAGTATTATTGTACTAGTATGTTTTTCAGTATAAGCCCAGTAGGTTCACCACGCTAAAGGATACACTGCAAAAACAATCTAGAAATAAGTAAAAATTTCTTCAATGAAGTGTATTTCCCCTAAATTTGAGCAGATAAATAAGATGATTTGCCAAAAGAA